CCGGGGGTGGGCGGCCGCGGGCGGTCCGGGGGGGTCCCGGGGGGTCCCGGGGGTCGCGGTGCCGCCCCCCCAGCGCCCCGCTGGTCCCCGCAGGTGGGCGGCGCGGTGCGGGAGATCACGGGTTACACCACCACGTACCGGCAGCGGCTGAGCGTGCGGGGGGGCGGCGCGGGGGGCGACTGCCTGCGGACCCGGCCCGGCTTCCACCACCGCCTCGCCGGCTTCCCCGCCTGCGTCGTCACCGACGGCGTCGTCAACTTCTTCCTCGCCCGCACCGACAAGGTGCGGCAGGTGGGCTTCGACCCCCGCCTGCGCCGCGTGGCTCATCTCGGTGAGGGGCGGGGGGCGCGGGGGGGAGGGACAGGGGGGCTGGAAGAGGTGGGAGGGTCCTGGGGGGTCCCTGGGGTCCTGAGGGGTCTGGGGGAGTGAGTCTAAGGGGGTCCCAGTCGAGGAGGGTCCTGGGGGTTCCCAGGGTCATGAGGGGTCTGGGGGATGAGGGGGGGTCTTGAGGGGTCTGGGGGCAGGCCGAGGGGGGTCCCGGGAGGAGGGGAGTGGGATGTGGAGTCCTGGGGATCCCAGGGGGAGGGAGGGAAGGACTGGAATGGGGGGGTCCATGGCCTGGGGGCCATGCTGAGGGTCCCAAGGAAGGGGAGCAGGGAGTGCCTCGGGGTGTCCGGGGTGTTCTGGGGTCCCGAAAAGGGGCGGGGGACCCAAACAGGCGTTCATGGGGGGCTGGGAGGAGCTGCAGGGCACCCCAGGAGGACACAGAGGAGGAGTGGGAGCACCTGGGGGTGTCCAGGGGTCTCAAGGGGGAGGAGGGGCGGCTAAAGGTGGGGGAGGGGGCAGTGCAGGGGGCCCGGGGGGTCTGGAGGGCTCGGGAGGGGCTGGGAAGTTCTTGGAGGATCTTGGGGCCCTGTGGGGGGCCAGGGGATCATCATGAGGGAAGTCCTGGAGGGAACTGGAATTTCTCTGGTAGAGAACTTAGGGAGACCCCTGGGGCAGCAGCGGGGGTGGAGGGGATGCTGGGGACCCCCACAAGTCAGGGGTCAGAGATAAGGGGGGGTTCCAGGGACCCCCACAAGTCAGGGGTCAGAGATAAGGGGGGGTTCCAGGGACCCCCACAAGTCAGGGGTCAGAGATAAGGGGGGGTTCCAGGGACCCCCACCACGGGCCCACGGGGTCAGAGTTGGGGTGAGGCACCCCAGGGCTGCTCTGAGCCCATTTTGGGGCGCCCCTCTCCCCCCCAGAGTTCTTCATCGATGGGCTGGGGGTGCTGCACGTGGGCTCGTGCGAGGACGTGGTTGTGGACCACGCGTCCAAGCTGGCGCTGCCGTGGCGGCGCTCGGAGGGCGAGCGCCAGTACAACCGGTACCGGTACCCGGCGGCGCGGGACGACAGCCTGCGCCTCAAGCAGCGCCTCTTCTTCTTCAAGAACCGCTTCAAGTGCATGGCCGGCGATTAGGAGTGGCCACCGGCCCCGGCCACCACGGGCCAGCCCTGGGGTGCCACAGGGCTGCTGACACTGGGGTGCCACGGGAGTGATACCCCCTTCCCCCCCGGGGCACCCCATGGGCCACCAGCACTGGCCACCCCCAGGGTGCTCACGGGGCCACCACGCCGGGGTCACCGACCACGGGACACCCCATGGACATCACTCCCAGGGCCCCTGGCCCCAGGCCATTGGCACAGGGCCACCTCGAGGGTCACTGCTGCCAGCCACCCCTGCGGTGTCCCCAGAGCCACCACGACCATGGGCTACTCCATGGACCACCGGCCATATCTGGGGCACCCCCAGGACACCCCCAGGGCCACCATTGCCGGCCACCTCAGGGCACCCCCAGGGCTGCCAACCCTGGGGCACCCCTGCGGTGGCTGCCCCTCGTGGGCCACCCCATGGGCCACCACCACCGGGTGCCCACAGGGCCACTGCCACTGGTGTGACACAGGGCCACCCCCAGGGTGACCAGCTCCAGGGCCACTGCCACTGTGGTCCAACTCAAGGGTCATCAGTACGGTGGCCACCCCTCCCACGGGCCACCCCATGCCATGTGCCACCACCACCGGCTGCTCCCAGCGGTGCCCCGTGGGCCACCACCATTGGCCACCTGCGGGGCACCCCCAGGACCACCCCCAGGGCCACCCCCAGGGCCACTGCCATGGGCCACCGCCCAGTGCCACCACCCAGGGCCACCACGGGCCCGAGGGGTCCCCGGAGCCCCCCCGCCCCCCCCGCGGTGTTTTTAGCTCTTTTGTACTTTGGGGGTGGGGCGGTGGCGGGGTCCCCCCGGGCATCGGGTCCCCCCTCCTGTTGTCCCTGACTCAGTTTTCTATTGTCCAGCCCCTCCCCCGCGCTGCCGCCAGGATTTTTGTGCCAAGTCTCGGCCCCTCCCCCCAGGACCCCCCGGGGTGGCTGGGGGAGGGGCTGGGGGAGGGGCGGCCCCGCCCTTTTCTACCCAATGGATGGTGAGATTTTAACCAGCCCGAAATCGGCCTCTTTCTTCCAAAAACCGGGGGGGAGGGGGAGGCCCAGGCCTCGCCCACTGGGGGGGGCTACAGGGGATGGGAGGGGCTAAAGGGTCTGCAGGGAAGTGTGGGGTGTGGCCAGTGGGTGTGGTCGATGGGTGTGGTCAGTGGGTGTGGTCGGTGGGTGTGATTGGGTGTGGTCAGTGGGTGTGGTCGGTGGGTGTGGTCGGTGGGTGTGGCCAGTGGGTGTGGCCAGTGGGTGTGGCCAGTGGGTGTGATTGGGTGT